CAACTGTTCCTGGATTCTTGACAGATCTATGATTTTTATTCGGAATTCACGTTGTGAAAATCGAGAAATAAAGTGAAGCTTATCTTTCAGATGTCGATTTTTCATAAATTGTGAGGCGGGGCCTACATTTCTGCACTCTGAAATATCGTAAAACGTAGAGCGAGAAACGCTTTATTCATGTCGAATTTACAAGTGTGTGCAGACTGAAAATGTAGACGAAAGACTAGCAAATCCTTTATTTCTGCGTTCAACAATAGGACATCTAATTCAAAGATACATCTTGCGGAATTTACTCTTGGGAACTCTTTCAGAAATATTCAAATATCGATACAGGAATATTTAAATCTGCACGTATATAAATATCGCTTATAATTTTATTTCTAAATAAAAACTCAATGGAAATTCAATTAAAAGGATAACAAATGTATTCATACATTTATATTTTTCTTGCGTGTGCCGTTTATTAAAAATTAAAATATTATCTATTTTATTACTTTCAAACACGTCGGAATACGAATGTTAAACGCGTAATAAACTTTAATGGCTATCAGAAACAGATACCAAGTGCATCCGACCGTGTGTCTATAGTTACGTAATCAATTCATTCTATGGAGCGTTTGCGCGTAGCGCGCGGATCGTCCGCCGTCTTATCGGGCCCACAGCGAGGCGATAAACGATCGACGATGGGGCATTAGGTGTTCCGAACATAGCGGGAAATGATATTCTTGGCACCTAGCGCAAGCTCACCAAGTGTGATGTATATCGTTCAGGGAATTTCGCTGTTTCGCCATTGGGATTCGATGCAATCATGCAGCCCGGGCTAACTTGAAACTGGACGCAGTGAATTTGAACTAATTCGAACTTGGGCTATTATCATTCAATCTTGCCACTATTCTACCGATTGTATTATATATATATATATATATATCGATGTTTTTCGCTCTATTCAAGTATTCTCTCTACAAACAAGGACTCTCACAATGGCGAGCGCGTACATCCTTGCCAAATTTTTAATAAATTAATTAATATATTTAATTAATAAATGAGTAAAATTTTTTTTCCACATTTGTTAAGGAATGCATTGTTACAAACTTTGCATTCATATGATAATTCATTCATGTGACAACTTTGCATTACGCATGCATTACACTGATCAAAGCATTTTCGAAGATATTAAAACTTTGAATGTGTGCAGACCGAATAACTACTTAATTCACAGATAAAATTCAAACGGACAAACGATTTACATTCAGCCCGAGGTATTTCCATTTCGCCGAACGATTCCTGAATAATTCGACCTATTTTGTGCCATCCAGTGACATTATGAATAATCACGCCATTGTCAGTTCGATGTATAAGGATCAGGACACACGTTCGGATTATCTACATGGCCGCCAGAAGCATGCCCAGCAAATTGAACTCCTGCAAGTTCGGAAGCGACACAAAGGATATTATTCCGATAAAACTGGCCCGTCTCTCGTTATCCCTGCCCTGCCTCTCCTGAAGGGACCAACGTAATCGCTTTATATGATCAGTCGAGAGAGCAAAACAGAAATGTTAAACTCGATCGTCCTCCTTCCCCCTTGATGAATCGACATGTCCAAGGATCGTACGCGAGAACTCCAGGGAGATTCGCCCTCGTATAATTGCACTTGACATAGCCGTTGCCTTCTAAGATTTAGAAACCTCCGGCGAATCCAATTAAGGGAGTCAGACGTCAGATGCTCGCCCTTCCACCAGCGCTGAGCATCGCTCGTGATCGAAAGTGGACTGTAAACGCGGGGACGGGATCGATACTATCAGTAGCCTTCAGTAGCTAACGAAATCCTAGAAAATCCGAAAGCAATACATATACTTAGGACGAGGTGCGGCTTAAGTGCGCAGTTTAATCGTCGCGGATAACGATCTAACGGCGACTATTTGAAAGAAACCACGAAAATCCCATGGTGATCGAACTGATCCGGTAATTAAAGATCTCGCGAGTATGTCACGTTACTTTTCGTGATAACCACCTTGAGAATTTTATTTCCCGCTCTTATTTAATCACTCGGTCCATTTTGGAAGCTGTATATCCCGCTCAATGGAAAAGCCAGTAATACAGCAACAAAGACGGGATTCAATGTGCGATGGTTACTATAAGCCACGCGCCTTTTCTATTGTCGTCCGAATCGTTCAGCGCATTACGCTGACCGAAAGATGGACGGTAAATTGCAATTTATAATTTTATTAATAAGAATTAAACGAGTCGCTAATATAATAATATAATATGGTAATATAATATGCTGTGCGCTTCTGGCTGTAGCGCCACTGGTGAAAACACATTGGTTTCTCAAAACAATAACGTGAGAATTGCATTTCTTGTCCAGAAAGTTATTTATTCTGACAAATTTACGCTCGAGGTTTGCCTTAATTTGCATACACAATTACATTTTGTATTCTAAATCAAACATGGACTTTGTATGCAGAAAATTTCAATTTAAATGTTGGATAGCTGTCGCGTTAATGTTGTATTACAATTGTTTTAACAGTATATTATTTAACCTGCATTCTACTTTTTTTACTTCCTTGAAGAAAATAAATCTTATTTTGTCTTCTATTTCTCGCTTTGCAATTTTATCGTGGAACTCTCCGAAGTGTAAAACTTAACTGCGTTCTACAAAAGGAATTTTATTATTCTTTTTAAAGAATATTAATTGCGTGAATCGCCGTGGAGAAGTAACACATTTCAACATCCGAAAGGTTAAAATGCTTTACAACATTTCCACCGACGGGTTTCGTTTACTCATTAAACAGGAACTGCATCCTCGTTGATTGCAGCAAACTCTTCAAGAAGAATCGACGGGAAGTCCGTTGTTTGTCTCTCAGAGTCAATTCAAAACTCCAGTCGTGGAAAGTATAGCGGATGGGGGGGGGGAGGAGGGAGGGGAGGGGGGGGGAGAGGAGGGAACAATCCAACTCCCACGGCTTATTTCTGTGAGATTAGACGAATGCGAATCTCCGGCGAGGGGCACCGCGCGACTCCTTTATTCCGCTACGAGTAAATTATTGGCAGAATAAAGTGGGCGAAACTTGCAGCGAAACAACGCCGCGCTCTTATCGTCCTTCAAACTCGCGAACGAGGTTTATGGAACTCGATATGATGCGTACATGAAGTAACGTCAAAGCCGCGCCGTGCGTACACCGGGGAGGCGATCGCCGTACTTTATTGTCGCGAGCAATTTCAGCGTGGCTGAGGAAAATAACGTTTATTACTTTCCTAATTGATTCTCGTCCACGGTGACCTACAGACCCGAACCATTTCCAGAACCTGCCGGCCGGACCTTTCGCGGAGGTCACTTCTCATTACGCGAAGAACTGTGCCGAGACGAACTTAATCGCCATGAGATTAAGAGGGAAACGCTTTCAAGGCGGCCGTGGTAATTGAGGTGTTCCATCGAGACATTTAGGAAGTCAGCCTTTGAACACGAAAATATCGAGGAAACTCTTACCGAATAGCAAATGATGTTCTGTATATCTCTAATATAGCCTCATTTACTTTGCTCGCTTCTGGGCATTGATTAAGAAATTGGCTCATTAATTAAAAAGAAGATGACGAAGAGTGCTCAAGTTTTAATAGTTTCTAATGATCATAAAAGCGTATGACAAATTGAAATTCTTGTAATAACGGCGACAATTATCATTTTATGCGAGTTCATAATTTCGTGCGGTTAATTATCTAAATGTGGGGGGAGAGGTGATTATTATTATTATTGTACATAACTTATACATTATTAACCTCACTATATTATAGTTCAAAATTCTAGCTCGAAATTAATCACATGTCAATTAATAATTCATTCTTTCGCTGGAATAGAAACGCGTTCAGAACACGATGTCCAGCTGTCAGTCCCGAAGCTTCGAAGAGAAAAAGGTTCATTCGCGGTCGAAACTGAAAGAAAACATTCTCGTGCAAGAAGCGCCGAGCGACGCATATGTTACCAAATATTCGAGTATCATGATGTCCGACGTCGGGAACTAGGGTTTCGTGGATGAAAAGATTGTTAATCCACACTCTTGCTCAGAGCGACCCTACGCTCGAGAGGAGCCCCCTAGTTCTCGATTCTTTTGAGAACA